TAGATGTTCCTCAGACATTCTTTAGATGTTCCACAGACATTCTTTAGATGTTCCACAGACGTTCTGTAGATGTTCCTCAGACATTCTTTAGATGTTCCTCAGACATTCTGTAGATGTTCCTCAGACATTCTTTAGATGTTCCTCAGACATTCTTTAGATGTTCCACAGACATTCTTTAGATGTTCCACAGACGTTCTGTAGATGTTCCTCAGACATTCTGTAGATGTTCCACAGACATTCTGTAGATGTTCCACAGACATTCTGTAGATGTTCCTCAGACATTCTGTAGATGTTCCTCAGACATTTTTAGATGTTCCACAGACGTTCTGTAGATGTTCCTCAGACATTCTGTAGATGTTCCACAGAATATCTTGGTTGTGTAAAGTTCTGTGATGTCTTAAAGCTCTCAGTATTTGTCTGTGGATTGACTTGTCAGACTTTATTTGAAGGGATGTTGAATATTTGATGTCTTCACTGTTGTCTCTGCTGTATGTGAAATAATTTGATTACACCTGATCTATAATCAAATCCACAGGGATTCTAACAAACTAATAAGATGATCTAAAACAGCTCTGTAGACTCTGAACCAGTCATATCACACCATGTGGAAGATATCTGTTCCCAACCTTCTGATGAGCTGATTGAACGAGTCCTGTTTAAACTTCTTGTTTCTGTTGTATTATTTGTGAATGCAGAATGTGTTCTGACAGTATGTTTCATTCACTGGAGCTGGTGCTTCTCTGCAGATGTCTCTGAGTGCTGGGCTACACCCTGGACACTTCACTGACAGACAGTAAATTTGCTATGCACAGTATTACTAAAAATGATTACAGTTCATGCACAGTATAGCTTAAAAATAAATGTGCACAGCATTGCTGATTGTGTAGTTGTTGAGTTGTTTTTTCTTGTTTGTTTCTGTTTTTTAAAGGCTGAAGAAACAACTCTATTCCAGACATGTGTTCAGTCAGATTAATATTAGTCAGTAGTTCTGACTCCTCTGAGAAGGGAAACAGGATTTTATTAGTCTTGATCAGAGTATAGTTCTGGTTCTTGGTGTTAAATCTAGTCTGGAGCCAGTTCTAGGCACTCTGAGTTATTGTGTGGCCTGTTTTTTGTGTATTTTGTGTCAGGCTCAGGGGTGGTAGGGATGCTAAACTTTCTGTACCTTTTGTCTCTTCTCATAGCACACATGCTTGCAACTTGTAAATCTGGGCCCATATGTATCAAACTTCTTAGAATTACTCTTAAGAATGCTGTTAAGAATGGACTTAAGTGTAAAAAATGATATGATAAAATCTGAGCTGAAGTCATTTACCAAGTGTGTCAGTGTCACTTTAACAAAGTGTCACTTTAACAAAGTGTCACTTTAACTAAGTGTCACTTTAACAAAGTGTCACTTTAACAAAGTGTCACTTTAACAAAGTGTCACTTTAACAAAGTGTCACTTTAACAAAGTGTCACTTTAACTAAGTGTCACTTTGTTAAAGTGACACTTAGTTAAAGTGACACTGAAGAGTTACTGTGACACTGTTAAAGTGACACTTAGTTAAAGTGACACTTAGTTAAAGTGACACTTAGTTAAAGTGACACTTTGTTAAAGTGACACTGTTAAAGTGACACTGTTAAAGTGACACTTTGTTAAAGTGACACTTTGTTAAAGTGACACTGTTAAAGTGACACTTTGTTAAAGTGACACTTTGTTAAAGTGACACTTAGTTAAAGTGACACTTTGTTAAAGTGACACTTTGTTAAAGTGACACTGTTAAAGTGACACTGTTAAAGTGACACTGTTAAAGTGACACTGACACACTTGGTAAATGACTTCAGCTCAGCTTTTAGCATATAATTATTTTACACTGAAGTCTGAGCGTAGCAGCAAATCTAAGAAGTTTGTTAAATCTGGGTCCAGAACTGATTCTCCCTGTAGAAACAAAGTGGAGTCATAAATGTAAAGCTGGTTGTAGGAGGAGCAGATGACCWGGTTACATCAGAACTCTGGGTTAAAACGTTGGGTCAGAACCAATCAAAGCTGTGTGGTTTATAATAAAGTAGAATAATTTAATCACACTGCTCTCTAACCCTCGTCAACAGTGCTTGGTACAATTGTTAGGTTGTTGGTTTATCTTTTTTTTTTTTCTGTGGATTCTATTGGAATCATAGAAATAAGTATTTTTTTTGACAAATTCGTATTTTTTATTCTGAAACTAGATCAGTGGGACTGGGTTGAAATTACAGAGTATTGTACAGTTTGTGATGAGAGTTCTTTTGTTTAAGCAATATATATTTTAAATCCAGACCTGTGAGTATTTTCCTACAGGACATCTCATCACTCAGATGTTGATATTATTATATGACAGCCTGTAAATCTGAGTACACTGGAGTTCCACATCTGTACTTTTAGAGCCAGTATTCAAAGTTGGAAATGAAAATATTTAGAATTAATGACTATACTTAAAATATGTGCTGACATGTTTACAAGGAACGAATCATAAAGTAGTTGTTGAAACGCAGAGTAAACCTGTGATCATTATAAGTCCTCTGGAGGAGATGAAGTTATACCAGAACTGGTAAAATCCTAATCAGTTAATTCAATCAGCTCTTCAATGCCCACTTTATTTACACATAAACTCAAAATGATTTCAGCTCCTTTACAGAAAAGACGTTTAATTTAACAATTCTTCTAACACAACAAAAACATCTGATTTGGTTCAGAACAAACGTACGTTCCAGTAACAAAGTGTAAGAAAACATGAGTTTCACAATGTGGACGTTTGTTTTACAGCTTTTGTGGTAAATCTGGAGCTGAATAATCTGACTGTACACCACTTGTTGAAAATGTTCACAACTATGTTGATTTTCCTGCAAACTTTAGACTCGTCACTTCAGGGAATCCTTTGATGGATTGATAATTTCCCCTTTTTTTTTGACATCCTCCAATGGTCAGAGGAGTGTTGTTGATAGTGTTTTTCAAAGTGAGCACATCTCCTTCATTGTTGTCATGGTCTCCCATCCAGGTCCTAACCAGGCCCGGCCTGAGATCAGACGAGCTGTGGTGTGTTCAGGGCCGTACAATGGGAATGAACCGTTCCACGATGATGTTCTTCTGTCAGACTGCAGCTGTTATCAGACATGTGGAGTAACGTGCTTACACAGATTATTTCATTCCAACAAATAAGACTGAACCATGCCACAAGTGTTCGACTCTATTTGTAGCCATGTTTTCAAATTATATTTAGTAGTGATACAACATATTACTGTTTATAAAAAATATTTTATCTATGTATGTATTTTATAACTGCCTGGTTAAATCAGATTTAGTAGAAAGATAAATGCTGCCAAATAAAAAAAATGGGTGAAATATATTTTTAGGCATTTGTGTGTAGTTCTGCTTCCTGTGAAACTAAAACTTTAATAAAGATACTTATGAAAAAGCCTCAGAAGTGGTATTGTAACATCATATTTACACATAAACATCACATTTTAGATGGTTTCAGATGAGTTTGTTTTTGTATTAGGTCTAGTTCATGTGATTTCACGAGGTTTAACGTTGAGTGGAGAAACAGTCCATCCTTGCTAGGGTCAATGAAAGTAAGTTGCTTCTGATCAAATGTATTGATTAACTGATCATCAGTGTGAACACCTATGAATGTAAGAGTGTAGTGGTGCACTGATCCACGTTCTTTTCATTTCCAATCTGATACCTGAATTTTGGGTATTGCCTACTATTCTGATACCAAAGCTGTTTTATTATTATTATCAATGTCATCCTCATAATTGTTATTAATTCTACAATATCACCAATGTTGTTTCATCTCCATCTGTTAACCTCCTTCTTATCTTCTCACGAGACGAGCGGGGCAGTTTTTAAGTGTCTGCTCTCTGCCCGGCCAGCTCAGTGTGTGAGAGCACGAGACACAAAATGGTGGACGAATAAAGAGTTCGACAAAGATAATAAACGTCATGTTTATTTGGACTTTACATGGTAGCAGAGGATGATACGAGTGCTGGAAAAATGAAGTT